CCCCCCCGCCCCCCCGCCCCCCACCTCGCCCACCACCGATAAGCACGCCACGGAGCAACACGCGCACAGGCTCCGCGGCGAAAGCCGGGCCGATCAACGTGTGCACATGTTTGCCCCGGTCAGGACGCCCGCGAGGCCCCCCTGCGGCACATGGGGACGGGGCCGCGGCGCGCACGGGGAGACCGGCCGCGGCGCCTCCGGTCCGACCAGAGTGCCCACACGCATATGGCGGCCGCGGCGCTGGCCCCCGGCCCTTGCCCGGGGAACGGGGGGCGTGCGCAGCCACCAGGATGCAGAGCCGCCCCTCGCCACGGGCAGAGGCGGCGACACGTTTGATGTCAGTAGCCTCGCGGGCCCCAGGCCCGGGGGGGGGGGGCGGGGGGGCCGGGAGCATATGGTGGGGCCGCCGGCATGCCTTGCCAGAGGGTCCGCACCGGCACCGGCTGGCATGTGGCGGTTTGGCCGCGGCGCCCCCACTGCCCCCCCGCGCGGCTGTGGACCTTAAAAAAAATGCCAGGCCCGAGGGCCGCCGCCAGGCATATGGTTCTCGGGGTGAGTTGGGCACGCGCGCGCGCGTACCGGTGCGCCTGGCACTCGGCACCAGGCACCATGGGCGGCCTGGTAGGCGCACACCGGGTCTCTGCGCCCTCTGGCGAGGGGCGCCTGCCGGGCCCCGCCGAGAAAGACCAGGCACCCCCATGCGGAGACCGGCCCCAGGCCACGCCCCTGCCCGGCCCCCGCCCCCCCCGCCCCTCGACAGCAGCCCACACGAGTGGGGGGAAACGTGCAACCGCCCGATGGCTGCCCTGGGCCCGCTACGACGCATGACCCACGCCGACACCATCTGCTAGGCGCCGCCGGCGCCAGATGATTCGCGCCGCCAACTGGCACATGTTGTTTATCAGGCAACTTCCGCGCCGCCGGTCATTCGGCGGGGCGTACAGGGCGAGAGGTGGCAAGACAAGCCGGACAGGGCGCGTCCGCCGGTGGCGGGCATCAGCTGTTGATTTGGGGGTGCCCCGCCGGCCCCCGCCCCCGCCCCCCGGCGCACACCATGCCGGCCCGGCGATCGCACGCACAACGCCGGGCCGGGGACGAGCCACAAGCCGCTGCTCCTGAAACAGGTAAATATCAGGCAATGGAGCGGGCTATCCCCGCCCCCCGCCCGTGCGGTGCTGACGCACGCGTTGCCGCCGCCGGTGCCTGGCCGCGAGGCCCGGACATGAGCTGATGTGCATCAGGCCATCCCCGCACCCGGGCATACGGCCCCCCCCCCCCCCCCCGGCTCGAGGGCGCCCGGAGACGCGCGGTGACAGCCGCGGCACAGGGGGTTGTGGTCGGACGCAGGTCCCTGCCCTTGTGCCTCCCCCTCGGGCCGATTCGCCAGCAATGGGTCTCTATTATTATTCTTGTCTATTTGGGAGAGGTGCACTCTCTTTTGCACATATGCCGGAGTAATTCTCCGGGCGCTGGGCTCGGGCCAGGGGCCGGCCCCGGGGCTTCTCAGCCCACATCCGGCCAAGAAGAAGAAGACGGCCCAACGGGTGGGCATTGGTCGCGGCGCGCCCCCCCCCCCCCGACCACTGGCCGAGCCCCATCAGGCCACCCTTCCTTGCGGCGGGGCTTCTGCCGTTTCCCAGGCAGGGCAAGCCGGTGCCATAGGCCGAGAAGCCACGCAAGGGGCACCCCCGGGGCTGGCGCTTGCTCCCTGGAGGGGCGGGGGACCCCATCTCCCAACCCTCCCCCTGCGGCATCTGGCACAGATGGAAGGGGACCAGTCTCGGCTGCTGCCCCGCCGCCGGGCCCTTTTCCGCGGGGGGGGGGGAGAGCGGGGGAGGGGCGGACGGCGGGGCGCGCCGAGCACACCACCTAGCCCCGGCCGGTTGGTTGGCAAGTGGCCTTTCCTTCGTCGCCCCCCCCCCCCCCGCCGGGGGGGGATGGCAGCGGGGCGGGACGACCCGCACCCGAGCACGACCCGCAGCGGCGGGCGGCAATTGTCGCGAAGACCCCGCGGCGGCCCAGGCGCGTCGGCGCGCGCGTCGGGGCCGGTGACCGCACCCGCTTTGTTTGTCAGCTTCATCTTTCATGGGCTTACACACACGCAGAGACACACGTGCACCGCATGACGGGCTGACCGTGAGTCCCTGCCCCCGGGGGGGG